GAGATAGATACATAACGTTTTCCATTCACTCATTATTTGAGTGTCTGCAGGGTATGTTAAGGTTATTCCAAAATCAAGGTACATTGTGTTTAGAAAGGGAGAACCTGCTTCCTATTTCATTTCAAATATGCCAATAACTTCTGTTAGCTAAGAAGCACATGGGACATGGGGGACTCTGTGGAGTTCTTCCAAGGGCGGTTTTGATGGCTGATCTGAAAGCGTCATGTTGTCACCTCTGAGGCTGACTCTTTGATTGTCAGTAAGCCTTGCATTAACATCTTAGCGTAATACACATTTCTCCCCTCCGCTTATGGAATTATTGGCTGTAAATAAGGGAACAAGTACTTCTCCTTTTAGCCCAGCAGATTTGCTTTGTTAGAAAATAAGGGATACATATTCGCTTGACCTGGGACAGCTTCACGGGCATAAAAACTGCAGTCGGTCACAGAGGGCCCTATCTTAGAAAAGCACCATTCTTTGTTGAATGCTTTGCTATCGTTATTTTGAAATTCTTAATCTATGAACAAGAGGTCCTCCATTTTCATCTTGCACTAAGCACTGCAAATTATCTTGCTGGACCTGGCTGGGTAACACTTGTTCTTCTTGACTATCATGGCCTGCCATGCATTCGGTTAACACATGCGATCTTTCTTCATAGCAAAAGAATAAATAAATAAGAATATTTTCTTTAAACCAGATATCTAAAAAATTAACTTCTGAAGAACAAATGGCAAGCTTATAATTTAGTGATTTTTAATAAACTAAGAAAAGTATCTAAATGGATTTCTAATCATTCAATTCTGACTTTGGTGAGTTTGTTGTTTCCGTTCATTTTAAGCTAACTTTCAAAGTTGATAGTATCAGTTTTATGCTTTTCAAGAAAAGAAAATGGAGTATACTATGTGACTTGTATTTCTTTAAAGTATTACTTAAGAAGAGTTTAAACTGAAATGTGTTTTCCCACTTTTTTGTGTGTAATAAGCTGATTTTTCGTCGATCCTAAGAAATATACCTTTATGTTATATTAATTGAGGATTTAACATTGATAACAAATATTGTTCTTATGTACAAAATTTCACCTGGAACTGTATAAAAATTAAAACTATGGGCCGGGTTTGGTGGCTCACGCCTGTAATACCAGCACTTTGGGAGTCCGAGGTGGTTCGATCATAAGATCAGGATATCAAGACCATCCTAACCAACATGATGAAACCCCATCTCTACTAAAAATACAAAAATTAGCCAGACATGGCAGTGCGTGCCTGTAATCCCAGCTACTTAGGAGGCTGAGGCAGGAGAATCACTTGAACCTAGGAGGTGGAGGCCGAGGTAAGCTGAGATCATACCACTATACTCCAGCCTGGGTGACAGAGTGAAAGTCCATTTTAAACAAAACAAAACTATGACACTTAAAAGTAGACCCCATGAATACCCACAGTGCTATTAATGACTTGAAATATAGTTTCTGCTTCTTTGTTGCTTCTCAATTGTTCAGTCTTGCTATCATTTCAAAGGACTCTTTTGTGACTCCTCATGGAATTTTCCCTTTCTTTTTTTTTCCAATGTCCATAAAATCAGTGTACTTAAAAAAATCATACAGCAATATATAGCCTAAACCCTGTCTCAAAATTGTCATTAGCTTTTTTAAGTCATTAAAACATTTTCATTTCACTAAAAATGATTTCTTTAAAATTTCCCAGGAAGTATGGCCTCTTTATTTTCTGCTGCTCACTTTAAACACATAGTCAAGGACAGATAATTATTAATGTCATGTGAGCATAACAGGAGATTTATAAACCAGAAATGTATTTTCTGGGAACCAGCTTGCAAGTCACTTAGGTCAGGTTTTGTTAACTTGACTGGTGAAGCCCTACGGAAAGCAGTGCCTGCCTCAGGCTTGTTTACCCTTGGCATTATATGGTACCAAACACTATTTCAGGACGGTGGAAAAACAGCCTGGGAGGCCATCAGCCTGAGCAGGCCTTACCCAGGCCCACCTAGAAGGAGAAATAGGAAGGAAGGCCAGTTAGTGTGCAAAGCAGCATGGCTTATTTTGAGGTCTTGTGAATTGTAGATCAACAAAACAGTGGCAGGATTTGAAGGAAGAAATGTATTGCAACAGACTCACCATGTACTTTGAACTGCAAAGGGAGACTGAGGCATGATGTCTTAAGGCCAAAAACCCTGGCTCAAAACACAGGTTCCGCAGGTGGCTCAGAGGCAGACCAAGTTCATCAGGTCAAGGACATTTTCCTGTTACCCTCTTGGGGAGAGGGGCCTTCACCAAACCACCCAGGGCATAGATCTCCTGCTGTTCAGAACCTACCCAATAGACAGCAGGAATAAACACATTTTTTTCCCCCCTTACATGGAATTTTCCCTTTTCTTGAGTCCATGGAGAGTTGTAGAGTGTTTGCTCACTGACTTTTAAAGTGTGGTAAAAGGCTTTTTTCTTCATTTATATTGGGTTAAAAAAAAAATTCAAGGGGCCCATGCTTCTTTGTTCTTATCCAAGCCCACAATTAGCTGTGGTTCCTTCTGTGTAGAAGCAGGAGGGAAGGGGGCAGCCCAACATGCATTTTACTGCCTGCGAGAAAGTGCTCTGAGTTTCTTTGTCCTTTTTGTCAGGGACGGCTGCCTCCCTAATTGTACTGCTGTAGGGAAGCACGTGCCTTTGGGAGCATTATCTGATTCCTACAGGACGTTCAAGAGTGCTTTGTATACTGACCCTTAACTTGAACACAAATAATATCTTTTCAATCCCCTTCCCAGGCTGTGTTGCCTCAGGCTTGGATACCTAAGAGCTTTGCTTCGCAGGGGTGTGGACCATTTATATGGGCTCAGGTTTTATTTTTTTGTCCCCTAGTTGTCTTACCTGCAGTCTGGCCACACCTTCGTGGAGAGAAAGCCGAAGAAGGTGGATAAGCAGTGGGTAGGAGCTATAGATGTCAGAGGGGAGAGAAGGCGAGACAAACAGCTGCTCTTGTCAGCATGGGGATAAGTGTAAAGAGATTAATAGTTATTTGAAGAGCAAATGGGGACATGGCATTCGCAGTGGAATGCGAATGCATGAATGTAATGGAATGGGCATGTGACCATTAACATTTACACAAATGCTTCCTGGACTGAATGGAATGGCAGAACCCACTTCTCCTCCCCTTGACGGGGGAGAAGTTTTATTAAATTAATTTAATAAAACAATTAAAAGTTTAAAATTTTGAAGATAAGCCTAGCTCCTATTTCTTTGTAAGTTTTTTATTCTCCGTAGTTCTACTTAATCTGAGACTCTCAACTATATTTCAATTGAAGAAGAAGGCCTATTTCCTTTATAAAATATGTACGAATAGGACTGCCTTAATTTTCTTGCTTTTAATTTTTTTCCTCCTTCATTAGGTTGATGAAACAAGATTTCTATGTGTTGAAAGGTGTTACAAAGGAAAAACAACTGTGCCATAAGCTGCTTGCCCCTTCTGAAAATGTGTCCATTTTAGCTCAGGTTTAGAAGTGAAGATAGGCTGACTTGCCTAAACAGGCTGACTTTTGATGGCATGGGCAGAGCCCTAAACCCAGAACCAAAAGGTTCAGCTCCGAAAGCCCCAGTCATTGTGTTAGCAGATGCTAGGGCAAATGCTTTACCTCTCTGATAGTAATCCAGTAAAGTTTTTCGTAGAGTAAATGGGGTTAAATGAATTCATTCTTCCCGTAAATATGTTCCTGAGTACTTTTACTCTGTGCTTTGGTCCATTCATGTAGAAAACATAAAACCATCTGGTAAAAGGAAATACATAAGCTAATGTCCTTTTGATTTTTATTGAGCATAGAATTTTCCTCATAACTGATAGTATTTCTCTTATAAATGTTCTATTCTAGAAAAGAATAAACTTCTAAGAAGGAAATAAAAGAACAAATAAATAAATGAGACCAGTCTGGATGATTTACTAGCATGTTACTTTTAAAAATATATAATGGGGTCTCCCTAACTCTGCTACCCATGACACTCCAGTCTTTGTGAAACCAGTTCCTGGGGGGATGGGTGGTATACTATGGGTACTTTGGGACAGAATGTAAAATGGCAAGACTAAGAGAAAATTTGAAGGTCATCTGATTTTGTCCCCTACCCAGCAATTTAACACTTAATCTCCTCTGGAACATAACTATGAAGTGGTCTTTCTTATTTTGTGTAATATGCTCACCCCCCCAACCTCCAAATGGAGCAATGGGTAGTATTCGTTTAAAGACTTCCCAAGCAGCTACTGAGCACTGGGAACGTTTTGCCTAGTTTGTGAATAAGGGCATACTCTACTTTCAAATGTTCTTTAGGAAGTCAGTCTCCAGAGCTGGCACATACACTTGAGCCATCTGTAAAAGCCATTACAAAACACACACATGCTCAGACTTCTCCTGCTTTCTCTGTTTATCAAAATCAGTGGTTTTCAAATGCACATCGATGATAGGCTGGACAGGGAAAATGTGGCACATATACACCATGGAATATTATGCAGCCATCAAAAATGATGAGTTTTTGTCCTTTATAGGGACATGGATGAACCTGGAAACCATCATTCTCAGCAAACTGACACAAGAACAGAAAATCAAACACTGCATGTTCTCACTCATAGGCGGGTGTTGAACAATGAATACACATGGACACAGGGAGAGGGGCATCACACACTGGGGTCTGTTGGGGGAAAATAGGGGAGGGACAGCAGGGGGTGGGGAGCTGGGGAGAGATAGCATGGGGAGAAATGCCAGATATAGGTGATGGGGAGGAAGGCAGCAAATCACACTGCCATGTGTGTGTACCTATGCAACAGTCTTGCATGTTCTTCACATGTTCCCCAAAACCTAAATGTAATTTAAAAAAAAAGAAAAAAAAATCAGTGGTTTTACTTTGAATGTGAAGTGTTTCCAACCTGGGGTTGATCTCTGCAAAATGCATGCACCCATTGATGCCTGTGGTTTAACCGGCTAATCTTGGGGTTTCTGGGTGTCCTTAACAGCCACAGTACACGAACCTGGGGCTCCTGAACAGCATGGACCAGCAGATTCAGAACGGCTCCTCGTCCACCAGTCCTTATAACACAGACCACGCGCAGAACAGTGTCACGGCACCCTCGCCCTACGCGCAGCCCAGCTCCACCTTCGATGCCCTCTCTCCATCGCCCGCCATCCCTTCCAACACTGACTACCCCGGCCCGCACAGTTTCGACGTGTCCTTCCAGCAGTCGAGCACCGCCAAGTCGGCCACCTGGACGGTAAGAGCAGCGGGCACGCACGTGCCTGGCCCCAAGTCCAAGGATGGGCTCCATCCCATCCCAGGGATTTCTCCCCGTTCCGCGTTTAGTGATTGCATGTTCAATGGTGCAAAGTTTGCCTTTAAATACTTAATACTGAACCAGAGAGAGAGAAAGTGCCAGTTAGTGGGAAAAGTCCCAATTTAGGAACCAGACGTCTGCGTTCTAGCCAGCTCCTGGCACCTTCAGTCAGTGTGTTCCTGCCTGCTTCACACAGTTATGTGAAAGTTTATGGCAAAGTGAAAAGCACTGTGCCAACATGAAGTATCATAATCATGGGATATGTGTTTACAGTCTCCAGAACGTGGGAGTGTTTACGTCTCATTGTGAAGAAGTAAGTGTCACATTAAGGTGTGATTTTAAAAACTGAATAAAGTAATAAATATAATATTACAAAATTTAAGAAAATAAAATCCTATTTATTTATTTTTTATTTGTTTGTTTTGTTTTTGTTTTTGTTTTTTTGAGGAAGAGTCTGGCTCTATTACCCAGACTGGAGTGCAATGGCTCAATCTCTGCTGACTGCAACTTCCACCTCCCAAGTTAAGGTGATTCTCCTGCCTCAGCCTCCCGAGTAGCTGGGACTACAGGCGTGAGCCACCATGTCTGGCTAGTTCTTGTATTTTTGGTAGAAACAGGGTTTCACCATGTTGGCGGGGCTGGTCTCAAACTCCTAATAAAATCCCATTTATTAAGGAAAAATATGTTTATACACACAGGTATGAATAAATTATAACCTATCAGTAAATTGTGTAATTCCTCATAATAAATTAGTATTTTTTATAATAGTTTATCAATAAATTATAATTTATTGATATTCATATATTTATTTAATTTAGAAACATTCTTTTCTAAAAAGAAGCCTTTAAATATACATATCAGGGCCCTGAATTAGTCCAAAGCAATTGTTTATTAAAAAAAAATCTTTCTGTATATAACTTTTCTAAGGAAACATGGCATTTTCTTCTCATAAATTAGAAAGATACAAGAATATTTTATTTCAAAGTGTATTTTGAAATGTATTATAACATAAGTAAAGCTTACAAAGCTGGTTTTAACTTGTTGATCAAAGAATGTTCAAGACCAAAGTGGTATGTTTATCAAACAACTTAATGTTTACATGGATTACACAGATGCTTTCAAATATCACCAGCTTAATAAAAAGTAGCTTTAGAATTGTTTTGACAGTTTTTTCCCCTTTGACAAATAGATTTCTTTGGAAAGCATTTCTATTTTTATTTCTATTTTATGTTACATGTAGTATCTAGTTCATTCTAGTCTTTAGTTGTACACTTTGTAAAATAAGCTTCATGCATAAGACCTATTACATTCTAATATCACATCCATTTCCTCATTTTGACCTCATTTCTTTTTTTTTTTTTTTTAATTTAAGATGTAGTCTTGCTCTGTTGCCCAGGCTGGAGTGCAGTGGCATGATCTTGGCTCAACTGCAACCTCTGCCTCAGGTTCAAGCGATTCTCCTGCCTCAGTCTCCCAGGTAGCTGGTACTACAGGTACTACAGTTATACACTACCACGCCCAGCTAATTTTTGTATTTTTAGTAGAGATGGGGTTTCACCATATTGGCCAGGCTGGTCTGGAACTCCTGACCTCGTGATCAGTCCACCTCAGCCTCCCAAAGTGCTGGAATTACAGGCATGAGCCACCACTCCTGGCCATTGACCTCATTTCTTTGCAAAGTACACAGGACAGTTTTACAACTCCCACTGTATTAGTGAGGAAAGCTGAAGAAGTTGGAGGTTAAGATAAGAGACATGCCTAAAGTTACAGAAACTTGTGTTCAGTTGGGTCTGTTTTTCTTTTCTGCTTTCCTCTCACTGGATTGTTTCCCTTCTTTCAACCATTTTATATCAGGATCTCCCAAAGTTGTCTAAAAATGAATGTCATTTTAGTTCTTTCCTCTTATAGTTTGAGAAGTAATTCTGCAGCTCATATTTCAACTGTAGAACATAAGTATCAGCTTAGAACTTGATCTCTCTTCCATGTGTGACTTATCAATCGTGTCGTAATCCTTAGTTTCCTTTACATGTATAATTCTGGAGGTGGTGGATACTGCAGGTGAGTAAACTTAGAGTTTATAGGGCTCAAAGTGTGGATTGATTGATGTAAGTAGTATCTTGCTAAAGAACCACTAGAATAACCATTTTGTAAATGGAGCACTGATACCTCTTAGGTCACCAATTGGATATTTACCATCACTGATCTTCAAAGCTAACAGTTACCAGTTTAGTTTACTCTGTCCAGGCTTCGCTAGATTAGGAGTGAGCGTGTCTGATGAGATGATGGGCATATTAGGGCTGCTAAATGAATAATCACACTTTTTCCTGTAAAATTGTTTTAACACCGTGAGGAGTGGGGATGAAACTTGATGTAAGTACAATATCAGATTAGTTTTCCTTCCCTTTCCCTTCCTGAGTACCTCCTCATATCTTAAAGTTGGCTGGGCACGGTGGCTCACACCTGTAATCCCAGCACTTTGGGAGGCTGAGGTGGGCAGATGGCCAGGTCTAGAGATCAAGCCCATCCTGGCCAACATGGTGAAACCCCATCTCTACTAAAAAATACAAAAATTAGCTGGGCATGGTGGTGCACACCTGTAGTCCCAGCTACTCGGGAAGCTGAGGCAGGAGAAACGCTTGAGCCTGGGAGGCGGAGCTTGTAGTGAGCCCCAAGATTGTGCCACTACACCCCTGCCTGGTGGCAGAGGGAGACTCTGCCTCAAAAAGAAAGAAAAAACAAAGTGGAAAGAAATCTTAAAGACATTTTCAGGTTTAGCGCAATGCGAAACCATTACTCAAAGCCCCTCTTTCAGAGAGGTAAATTGTGTCACTCAAAAAAGATGGAGATCCCTACCAGAATGGTAGGTTTAAAAGAAAATGCTCTGGTGGAGTACAGTTGTAAAATTTCCTTCCATGTGACAGCAGTAATATCAGTACCCTGAAAAGGGGGATACACTGTGGTGATGGGCAGAGAGCCCTGGCTGAGAGACGGAAAACCTGGATTATGGTCTTGATCATCCATATAAACTTAGCCAAGTCACTTCCTTTCCAAAATTCAATCTGTGCCTCAGATGACAAAGAGGATGAGGATGGTGAAACCTACTCTGTTTTCTTAAGGTGAGATAATAGTATTAATAATGAACATAGAAAGTTTTTAAAATTTTTAGAAGGGCTTCGGTTGTTACCAATGTTTTTGTCTGCCATTCATGAGTGTCCTTGGTTAAGTGGTTTTCCTTCTCTTGGATCTTTGTTCAATTTTCCACATTCTACCTATACATTTGACAATAAGGATCCTACTTGTATATCACATGGTAATTATACTTTTATTAAATTTCTTTCTCGTTCACAACAACGCTTATTTCATGCCCGGTTGCATTTCTTCTAAATTAGGGCACTTGAATCCTTATCTGAGCAGCTACTGAGATTACCTAAAAAGATGTAAGTTCTTCATCATGAATACCTGCATCTCGACTTCTAATTCTTTGAGCCAAATTATATATCCTCATTAATTTTATTTATTTATTTATTTATTGAGATGGAATCTTGCTCTGTTGCCAGGCTGGAGTGCAGTGGCAAGATCTCAGCTCACTACAACCTCCACCTCCTGGGTTCAAGTGATTCTCCTGCCTCAGCCTCCTGAGTAGCAGGGACTACAGGTACGCGCTACCATGCCCGGCTAATTTTTGTATTTTTAGTAGAGACAGAGTTTCCCCATGTTGGCCAGGATGGTCTCGATCTCTTGACCTCGTGATCTGCCTGCCCCACCTGCCTCAGCCTCCCAAAGTGCTGTGATTATAGGCGTGTGCCACCGCACCTGGCCAGAAATTTTTTCTGCCGTATTACACAACAGCTATTTCTTAGGCATTTGTGCATTTTAAAGCAATTTTTCAAAATAAAATGCTGCATTTTAGAACTGCCCACAAACTGGAAGAAACAGAAGCAGCCGTCATTATGGGGAGGTCATGCTTATCGCATAGTCTTCTGGCAATTCTTCAATAAAAATATTTTTAGTACCATTTTACCACTTGCAATTCTTCCATGTCAAGTTTTCTTTTTTAAGTTTTCTGGTTTTACCCTCAGAATTGCTGTCAAAATATAGCTAATATATTTAATGTATATGTGCATTTTTCCTTTGCTTTTTTGTGTTTTAAATAACAAATGTGACAGTGTTTCCAGTTCTACAAAAATCTTATTTATTTAAACTTCTTTCAATGAAATAAAGTGAACTAAGGCCACATTTTTCATCTTCTCTGTTTCACACACAAACACACACATACGTATACCACAAACCAACATGTACTTTAGTTTCAGACTTTTTTTTTTTCTGAGATGGTGTCTTGCTCTGTCACCAGGCTAGAATGCAGTAGCAGGATCTTGGCAACCTTTGCCTTCCAGGTTCAAGTGATTCTCCTGCCTCAGCCTCTAGAGTAGCTCCGACTACAGGCACACGAAGCCACACCTGGCTAATTTTTCGTATTTGTTAGTAGAGATGGGGTTTCACCATGTTGGCCAGACTGGTCTCGATCTCTTGACCTCGTGATCTGCCCGCCTCAGCCTCCCAAAGTGCTGGGATTACAGGTGTGAGCCACCACGCCCAGCCTAGTTTCAGATTTTCTTATTTCCACAATTTAATTGATACTAGTTACAGAGGCCTACCATTTAATATAATGTAGTGCTGTTCTAGCATAGGACAGTTGAAAGAATGGTAGTGTGGAGATGGTAAGAAACTTGAATTCAGATTTCAACTCGGAAACTTACTAACAGCATATAGGACTTTCACCAAAAATTCAGTCTCTCTGAGCCTTACTTTTCTCACCTATAAATGGGAATATTAATACTTTCCTCATCATGAGGATTATTTCACGTAAACATACCTATTAGCACCTAGCTACTCTTAGGCTCCCAAGTGTTTATTGGGTCTGAATTTGAATCTCTTTTGTT